AAGTTACGCAAGATTCAACTCTCCACGCTGGGAACTAAGGTACTTACACACGCAGCTCTGGGGCCTGTGCACTGACTGGCTCAACCATGTGGAAAGGAAGGAGACAATACGGACATCGATCTGCAGAGGGATGTGAATGAACGAGGCACATCACTCTGCGGGACACTGTCACACTGCAGCCACGGAAGAGGCTTGTTCATCTTCTGTGTGTTTTACAGGGAAGGATCTCTAAGATGCAGCATTAGGTGGACAGAGTTGTCCTCAGGTATATTTACTGAGGTCCTACTGAACATTGTGTTAGGGATAAATCAATAAACAAAAGACATGAAATCCTTGCCTCTGTGGAGCTTCCCACTCTGCATAAAACCACTTCAGGTGCCCATTTGTAGTTTTTTTTAATCCCAAAAGGTTGCATATTTGCATGTCTGTATGTATATGTGTCTGTGTGTGTTTGTGTGTGTGTGTGTGTGTGCATATACATTACAAATTGATAACAGTGGTGGTACCCAAGGGGTGAGTGGGACTGGGTGGGGGTCAAGGCTTTGTCTGTCTGCGTTATTGTTCTACGATGAAAATGTGTTCATGGGGCTGGGGCTCAGCGGAAGAGTACTCACCTAGCACACTCGAGGCACTGAGTTCGATCCTCAGCACCACATAAAATAAATAAATAAAATAAAGGTATCATGTCCATCTACAACTAAAAATATTTTTAAAAAGAAAGTGTATTCATATATTTATTGTGTAACTTAAATGAAAATTACAGGATGAAAATTATAGGTTGCATTGATAATCTGTGCTGAAAGGAGCGACACCTTGCCCTGAAGGGAACAGTATAACTTCTGCTTTTTCTAGGGTATCAAACCTCACAACAAGTCTCTGTAGACAACGGAGGACAGGTGATCGGTGATGGGTGGGAATGCGAGCGATCCCACCACCAAGAGGCTGCGGGGAACCTGGGTGGCCAGCAGCACTCCCCCTGGACAGAGCAGTTGGGAGCGGGTAAGGCTGGAGGAGCCTGCCCAGAGGGAGAAGGCACCTATCATGGACAGGTGGACAGGTAAGTGTCAATGTCCACAGTCACCGACCACAGTCACAAACAGCTATCAGAATGTCACTGGCCTACCGATTTAGGGACACATTCGGGTCTCAAATCACAGAGATCAATAAAATAATAGTTTTTCTAGTGAGAGATGTTAGCAGTTAAAAATGTTATAAAAATTCCGGGGAGTTTTTGAATCACCAGCATTTCACTTGCTGGGATCAAACACTGTAGAAACAAAGAAACACACTTCTGGAAAAAAGATACCGTCAAAGAGGACAACAGAGGCGGGAAGGGACGCAGCAGACACAGGACCCTGGGCCAAACCAGTGGCTCTTTCCCCAGGTCGGAGGAGACCAGGCCTCTACTGCTCCGCGAAAGCCCACAGCTGAGGAGTGGGGCTGGGCTCTGTCTAGCAGAGAGATTTTTCAAGGAATCTTGAATACGCAGGATTTTCCTTCTTGCTGATTCATGAACTCTAACCTATCAATTAAGATGCAACTTGGCTACAAAAATAGCACATACATCTGTATAATTTCTGGGAAAAAAACCCAGAAGTGGCAGACATGGAGTGCTATTCCAAATAAAACCCCAGATTTCTAAGATGCAGACCAAATCGACAGGATATACCTTCACTAAGTGTGGCTTTTCTGGACTCCATTCTCTATTTTTATGAAATAATGATCACTGTGTTTTATAAGCTATTGATTGGCCCCTCTGGAGATGCCGTCATAGAATTAAGGGATAAAAGAGAAAAATTCAACCAGCTATTATCAGCTTGTTCTGTTAGCAGAATGATACCAATAAACCTAAGTTCATTCTTTTCAGGACCTGAGAGCATAAGAAAAATTTTAAGAAGGTAATTAAAGCAACAGCAAGTGAGTTTAAATGATGTGACTTGCCGTAATGGAGGCTGTGAAATAAAAATCCCTGTCGGATTTTCTCTCCTTCACTCCGCTCCACGTGGTTGGCATGCAGAGCTCCCCATGAGAAACTAGCAGGTATCCCTTCTCTCCTGGATCCCTCACTGGCTCTCCAACACCTCGGAAGAAACAGTTCTGCCTCTTCTGAACCCTAGACTGTTTTGTCTCACCTCCCACTGGGCATTTTCCCGATTCTGGATCCAAATGTCACCTCTTCCCCGTGTTCCTTTCTCCTTGAAAAGCACGGCCATCTTCCCTGTGCCTGAGAGAGAGAGATCTGGACGGCCCTGCACACAGTCTCCAGCCCTCTCCCCAACATCCAGTTCAACACAGAGCCTTCGGGTTCTCCCCACTTATATCTCAAGCTCATCAGCCTCTCGGCGCACCCTGTGTCTGAAGCCAGCTCACCCCACTCTCCTACCATGGCAGCCTCCTAACCAGTCTCCTTCCCTGCCCTTCAAAGCCTCTCCCCATTTCACAGGCAGAATGACCCTTCTAAAATGTTGACAGGATCGAGCTTAAAAGCTTACAATGATACTCCACTGCCTCCCGCAACACAAAGTAGCTTTAACGGAACCAAATCCTCATGGAGGAAGACAAAAAGTAAGTCAGACTGTTCCAAGTGATAAAACGCGATAGCGTAAGACTGGGAAAGGGGCAACCCAGGTCCGCTGGCCGGCCTCTTGCCCTGACAGCGCAGAGCCGAGGTGTCAAAGAGGTGGACAAGTCTCCATGTGCTTCCCAGCACCCACACCAGCTGTGAGCCCAGGCAAGCCCCTGACTGGTTCACTGACTGCTCTCGATTTCAGCTCACTCAGGTTTCCAATGCACGTTTGATGAGGAGAGGGATGAATGAAGTTCAAATTCATCAACTTTAGCTGAATGGTGTGCTCATTTGTGTGTGTGTGTGCACTTGCTGACATCAACTTGTGGAATTCTTAAAATTTCTAGGCAGACAACAAGGAATAGGATTTGGACTCTGAAGAAGAGTTTTCACTTTCCTTAAATCCTTCCAAAACAGCTCAGAAAAGATGCTATAGAACTCTCTCCCAAGCAGGACCCTAAGAGGACAGGAGAATAGATGGGTCACTTGCTAAGCTACCCCAGGGCCTTTGAGCTTGACTGACTGTTACAGCCAGCACTGGTCCGAAGGCTGGCCTCCAAGCTTCCCAGGCTTTGAGCCTCCTGACAGTCACCACCATCTTCATCCCACCCCAAGTCAGCATTAGATATTCAGATTCATAAAGAAAACAATTGCAAGTCATTATGGGTCATTTCTACTAAAGAGAAAAACTCTAAAATACCCCCCTAAAATATATTCTATTGTGTATAAATTATTGGCTTTGATTCTGGAAAACAAGATATTCAGATTCATAATCTTTTAGTTGCAAATTGACAGGTTTTTAAACAAATTTAGCTGCAAAACCTGACCTGTTTAGAGGATTTATACTTCATTTGGTCTACTTGGTGTGACTATGCATTTGTTTCACTTTAGAAATAGAACATGTTTGACTTCAGGGCACTGTCTTTGACCCCACAGGGATGTTGGATAGCGTATGACATAGAAAATGCATTGCTTTTCTAAAGTGCAAATAATTCTGATCTTCAAGCCCTCTCTGGCCCCGAGGGTTTCGGAAAAGGGATCTATTTTCTGTGCTAACACTCTCCCAATTCTTCCATCTTGGGTTCGAAAGCTTCCATAATGTGTGAAATACTCAGCAAAAGCAGAATCACAGACGCACAGTTCATGTGAGTTTAGCATTTGGAAGTTCCATGACAGAAAGCTGCTGCTCTGAGGTCCCTTGCAGATCTGATTTAAAGTGCACCTGGGCTGTTACACTGCTGCTCTTCCTACATGTGTATCATTCATGAGCTAGAGATGCTTCTGACCACAAGGAGACCTTTACAGGCAAACCCTCTATAGCATACCCAGCCACAATCCAGGAACTGTGGGCAGTAGAATAATTTGCCATACCCTCTCATTTCTCTCAGAATTCCATTTTTCTCATTTTTTCTTATATTTAATATTTTTTCTCCTGGAAGCTTCAAGAAGCAGTACCTACCTCCGGGGAACAAATTTTCCAGTCTTTATAGGGCAGAGCTGGTAAAGGCTACAACTTCATTGCGTGTATTATTTCTGATTCTCACAATCACCCTGCAGAGGTATTTTCTACTCTTCCTATCACACAAGTGAACAAACTCAGGCTCAATTTTTCCAAAGCCACATGGCTCCTAAGGAACAGAACAGAAGTTGAACCCAGGAATGTCTATGTCCAAAGCTTGTGTCTTCTAAAACATCAAGGGGCAGATAGTTGACCCATGTTCCAATCTTGTTCTTAACTGTGCACGGTGGGCAGGTAAGTCGGCTTCATCCACGGTAGAAATAGGAGGTGATTTTATTCTAAATCCCTATGCTGATCATTTGAAAGCATCTTTGTAATTCCAGGAAAAAAAAAAAAAAAAGATAGAGGACTGTTTTTAAAGATTCAACTCTAGAGCCATATAAAATATCAATGTAGCTTTCATTTTGTTATTTTAAAAAAACAAAACAAATAATTGGGATCAGAAAGGTTTATCAGCAATACAGCAAAAATCAGATGTTCAATTTTCACCCACCTTTTAGAAGCATCATCTATATTTATTGAAAGTATGATCACACAGGGATGGAGCAAGGCTTGCGCCTCAAACAACAAAAGCACGGAAGGACAGAGGTGAAGATCATTAATGATTTTAATCATTTTAAGGCCCATTAAAATTAGAGAAATATCAAAGCACCCACGGTGTTAAGGGTTTATTATTACGGCATTTTAGAGTCTACTAGTTCATACCTTTCAATCACAGCAAGTCATTAGCAGTGAAGGGATGAACCCTCTGAAGAGGATTTTATCTCAGTGGTAGGGTGTTATGAACAAGACAACCTGAGTTTTAAAAAAAAATTAGTAGCAAGCGCTAGTTTAGTTAATCAGTTAAAGACAAACTGTGCCCTTGGAAAGCTAAATGAAAAAGCAACAGTAAAGCTTACAGAACTTAGCTCGTACAATTTGCCTTGAAGGCGGAAGATTGGTTCCCTGAAATAGCAAAGAATTATATGCTTTAGTTCAGAAAAAAAGTTTTTAAAATAAAGTCTGTTATTACCTCTTCTCTGTTCAAAACAATGAAAAAAAAAAAGACAATCTAGAGCAGAGGTTTCAATTTGTTCAATAATTGTACCTCTGAATTTAAAAAAAACACAACTAAAAAAATCATCATTGTTTTGACTTGAAAAGAAATAACAATGCAAATATTCATTATCACATAAAACATAAAAGAAACAGCAAACTGTGGGAGTTAATATGATCTCTGCAGAGCGCCATTAGTCAGAGACAGCTGGTCAGCCCCCAAACACAAAAACTCAGAAGATCAGATCTCCTTAGGCATTCCCGTCTTCGTTTACCAACAGGAATTTAGGGTGGCAGAGATTAAACCCAACAACTGCCTTCGTTATGAGCTGTCCCTTCACTGTTACCAAGCTGTGCAAACGTGTGAACTAGTCGGCAGCACCAGAAAGCTCATGCAATTATCCACCATGTGCCAACCTTGAACCGACCCACAAACTCAAGGTTAAGTTCAGGGGTAACGTAAGCAAGCAAGAGGAGGACAGGAGGAGTCAAAATTGAAACGCAGAGCAAGTAGCAGAAAAGTTATTTAAAATAAATCAATATGGTTAACTGCATACAATAGCCAAAGGGAAATGCAATTCACCCCAGAAATTTTAGAAGCAGAAGTTAAAAAAAAAAAAAAAAAAAAAAAAGCTGCATTTCAAGCAAAACTTGCACATGATTAATTTGCATTTAAAAAATCGTCAATCAAGCGATTTAGTTCAAACTCCTTGGGGTATGCATGCACTGATTCTCTTGCATGATTCCTACCTGATTCCCAATTGTGGTTTTCTTGTGGACCTGACTGCTCCTCTGCTGAGCACTGAGAAAAGCAAAGGAAAGTAGCGCTGAAGAAACTCGTGTTTTTTTTCTGAACAAGTAACGACACTACAGTAAACACAGGCAACTGAGGCAGGGCTGGTGTAAAATTATCCAGCTCAGTTTCATTCTGGAAGCAAAACCAAATCGACAGGACTGCTAATAGCAATTAACCATCATAGATCCAAACTCTAATAACTCCAGCTGAAGAAACCTTCATCATCGGGTTCATGACAATGCGAGTTGATGTGCGACATCCACAGGTACGAACAAGAGTCGTAATGAAGTTACGTTAATGCTTACTGAGTACATACCATGTCCTAAGTGCTTTGCAGATACTAGTGATTTTAAGTCTTACAACGACCCTGCAGGTAGGCACTACTGCTATCCTTGTTTTACAGACAGGAAGCCTAACCCCTGGCCGCGACTCTGACTCATCTCCTCCCTCTGCCGTTTTTCTCCATGACACGTGGTCACCTCCAAGCTGGCTGTACAGTTTCTTTGGGGGCTCATCTGTCCACCTGCCTCCATCAGACTGCGAGCTCCGTTTTATCCATTGCTATGTCCCCAGGCTACAAATACCTAGTGAAAGGAAAGCCAGGGAGGCTGTGGCCATGGCAAGCCCCACCTCACACTCGGGCCAGACGGGACACGGGATTCGGTCAGTTTACCCCAGAGCTCACAGTTAAGTACGTCATTTCATCCCTCCAAAGAATGAAGGCTTTCTTTGGTACATCCACGGATCCACCTAAGGATGTAAGAAAACCCAACACACTGGGCTACTCCGGGAAGACAGCGATGTTCGACTCGCTAGCAGTCCTCGGCGAACCCTCCGGCTTCGGGGTTTACAGTAGCCGTTTTGGAGAACAAGGGGTGGGGAGCATCTAAAATGAGAAGAGGCGGATTCCAGCCGTTGGCACACATCTGCAGTGGCGGGATGTCGGAGGACAGCAGCCCACACCACACTCAGCTGTTGGAGAGCGCGTCTCTTCTCTCCCCTGATGCGCTGCCGCCTGCCTTCACTCCAACTCCAGCTGCGCTCAGGTAGGGATGGGCGGGTGGCCGTGAAACCTCCATCTATGTGGTTGCTAGAGATGTTTAGTGTGTATTTGGTTTTTCAGATTCTAACTTACTAATGCCACCTTCTTCCTTCCTTGATACGTGTTAGATTTCCAGGTTTTTAATTCCCTGTGACACTATAAATCCATCTCTCTTCCGCCACTCCTCTAATCATCTAATTCTACAGCTTTGGGGTTTTGTAGGTGAGGGTGGGTAGGTGGGAAGCTTCTGCCCACACTGCCCTGGCTGCCCAGGCACAGTGAGAGGCTCAGCGGCCCCTCTCCTGGCCCTGGCTCTCTCCCCACAGCGCTCCAGGCCTGCTCTCTCCTAGGGATAACTGGGAAAATGACTTAATCACGTGACCGGCTTCTCCAGGGCCACCTGGCCTCTTCCTAGCACCGTTTGTGTTTTAGGGTTTCCTTTAAGGGGACATATTTTGAATAAATCTCTGATTTGTGACGGTAAATTCAAAAGGTTTAAAGGACTCAGCATCCTTATTTTGGACAAACTATAGGGGTCCCACATAAGGGAAAAGAACTGAGCACAGGCCCAGAGCATGCTGATGACTCTGTGTGCAGAGGCAGAGTCAGGGGCCCCAGTTTCTTAGCTACAAATGGGGGAGGGGTGAGAGAGACAGAAACACAGAAAGAAGGAAGGGGAGGGGGCTGGACTAGTTGTTGGATGTTTCTTCAAAACTGAGGATAAAACCCAGGGCCTCGAGTGTGGGGCAACCTGCCCCTGAGCTGCTCCCAGCCCTTAGGTCCCTTTCAGATCCAAGACTCCTTGATCCACCACTTGTAAGACCGTGCAGAAAGAGAAACTGATTTATTTCGTGGGCCAATCTCAAATATTAAAACAGACATTAAACTATCATTATTTTCCACTGAAAGAATCATCTTTGCAACAACTGGCACTTATATTCAAATATACTGTTGTTAATGATGTATTTAGGTACTTTAGAATTATTTTATAAATCCCTTAATAATGAACTGTCTACTTGGAAAATATCCTTTATCATGATTCTTCTGTATGCTATGAGGACTGAACTAAAAGTATTTTGAAATACTTCTTTAAGAATGTGTTCATGAGAAAATTTTCAATTTAAGGCCTTGGACATATTCTTGGATGAAGGTAATTAACTAGTTAATCTCAGCAACATTATAGAAAATACCAAGCAATAATGTTTTAATTTGAAGTAAGCCCAAAATTTTGGTTCAACAACTTAGAAGAAGATGGAAACATGAACAAGATATATCCCTTGTGATCAGAGGTCCATAATGCATCTCGTACAGGTAAAGACAGACACCAAACACAAGTACACATAAAAGTTAAACCTACTGAAACAAAAATGAAGGTGTAATAGAAAGAAAAAAGGTACTTTGTTTCAAACGTAGGATCACAGTTATCTCTTTCATGTGTGCGTGTGCGTGTGTGTGTGTGTGTGTGTGTGTAAGTATGTAAGTTCCTACAATGCATAAGTCACCATGGAAGAGACTGTGATAAACAGTAGAACACAAAACCCAAAGTAGGTTTATGCTGGGGACATTGTGATTCTAAAAGTATATAACAAGAGGTTCAAAATTTTTGTAAAAATAAGAGTACACTAATAGACACTCCAAGAGAAAGCCAGAGCGCTAACTCTGCTCAATTGTTTCTGCATATTCTTTTCTATCCTTTTCTATGTGCACCCACAAGAAAAGGCACAGATAATAAAGTGTGCCAAGGAGGTGTGTGGTCATTTATCAACAAGTCCTATACATAGTACAGAAGTGATTGCCCTGAATATTCAAAGACAAGAAATACCATTTCAGTTTGATGTGACCTGATATTTTTGCAGAAAAATTGCAAGATAAATTTTAATAGAAGACAACAAGCAACTGCATTAAGAAAAAAAAAAAAGATGATATTAGCACAGCCAGGAGGTAGAAAGATGAGGCATGCAGTGAATTTCTGGAGAGCAAAACTATCAAGGCAGAACCATGTAACAGTAGACAGGGCTGTCTATGATGTCAAAAGCCATCAGCACAATAACGGTGTACTGGGGCCAATTAGCAGAGAATCTGGCCAGGGCTGTTTATAGCCAGACTACCCATGCTCATGTGCAATGGGAAAGGTCAAGGATGTGAAGAGGGACATCGCAGGCGGGTGCTGGGGCAAGAGTATGGTACATTTAAGGGTCCCAAAGCGGCCCAAACTGGCTGAGGTAGGAAATGGATAGTGGAGTAGAGAAGAACAGGTGGAAGAGGAGGCAGCAGCACTCGGGGTCTGGGAAACCCTGTTCATGCAGTTATCCTAAAAGTCATGAGGAATCCTGGAGGGAAGGAGAAAGGATGTGACGAGAGAAAGACTGTGGCAACTGGAGCCACAGAGAACCGACTCTGGGAGTGACCATGACAACATAAAAAAAACAGACAAACTCAAGAAAGGTTATGGAGGGAGAATCAAACAGACCCGGTGACGATGAAGGAGAAAAGGGCACAGAGTGACATCCAGGCTCTTGCTCTGAGAGACGGGAGTCACCAGCTGTGGAGTGGAAACGGGGGTCGGGGAGTGGAAGTTACCAAGGCAGGTGGCCAGTTTGGTTTGGGAATGCTGGTCGAGGCTTCTCCAAGTGCACAAGTGGAGAGGCCCGTGGGCAGCTGAAGGTGGTGCAGAGTCCAGGAGCAAGGTCTGGGATGGAGAGCCGGCCCCAGAGTCATCCAAGGAAGTGGGCGACGCAAGCGCTGGAGTGGTGAGGCTGGTCCGGCAGAGGCCGTGAGTGAGGTAAGAGGGCCAGGGAAGGATGCCAATCAACACCGCCCTTTAGTGTGGGCAGAGGTGTATGGCTCCTGAAGAAGGCTTAAAGCAGAGGCCACAGCACAAAGAGGAGACTAAGGAGGAGCAGAGGCCCAGGAAGAGTGGAGGCCGCAGACACAAGGTCCCACGTCTCTTCAACAAGTGTGGCTAACGATGCCAACGAAGGGCTCGGTTGTCCGTTGGTTGACTCTTTTCTCTGGACAAAAGCATCTCGGTAGAGTGGCGTGGGAGACGCTGGACTGTACAAGGCCACAAGGGGGAGAGGTGGAGAGAAGAAAGGAGCAGAGACTTTCAGCCAACTCAGAGGGGCTCGGTGGGTCACAGACAGGGTCCCCGAGAGACGCAGTGTTTGCCTCTCTCTGCCAGTTTGCTTCCCTTGGTCAGGAGACTTGGAAACAGAAGAAACTTCAGGAGAAGCCACAGTGGAGAAAATACTAGCAAAACAGCAACGTGCAGCCTCAGGGGGTGGTGAAAGCTGACTGCACCCCCGGAGTGCCGGGGCCCGCTGCGCAGAAGCCACGAGACTTATCTCCTTTTTCTCTTCTAGGAGCCACCGTTGTAGGCGACCACCAAGCCATCAGAGAAGTCGGGCCCCTGAGGAGAGCACGGCCACCTGCCCTCCCATTCTGCAGAGCTGGGCTGTCCGACACAGCAGCTGGCAGTCAGGGTCAGCGGCCAAGGCAGGACTTTCATTAACCTAAACTGTAGCTTCATTTCCTCCATTTCACCGGCCACATTGCACTCAACCACTAGCCAAATGCCGTTTGTGCCACGGGTTCTGAATCATTTCCATTATGTGTCCCATTGGGTAAAGTTGATTAGGGTACAGAAATCTTTTGGAAGATTCTCTTTTATCACCCCAAGAAAGACGATGAACGCTTGGGGATCCCAAGAACACAACCCATCACAGGCAGGTCGGCCCCCCCATCCAGTCAAACGGAAACAGAGGGAAGAAATTAGTGAAGTCTCCGGCCAAACATGATGGGAGAGACTCTCACGGAGCTGGAGGCCTATGAAAAGGATCCCTCATCTCTGCAGACTCCTTTTGAAGATGCAGTTGAAACAACAGATGCAAAGAGGGGCGTCTATATTTTAGAATGGTGCTTGGAACTCTGGAATTTGTGACTGATTTGAACGAGTGACACTGCAGTGTCCTTTCAGGCTGCTGGCGCCTGCACTGCTACCTGGTGAGGATCCTGCTAAGCAACCGTGCATGTAAGTCCTAAATGTGGACGGCTCAAAAGAAGGATCCCGTATACTCCGATGCCCAAGTTCTGATTCCATAAGAGAGAACAGCCTCACGTACAAATAAGAACCAGCAATGCCGTTATGATCGAATATCATTTTGTGTCAGGGAAACATCAAAGAAGAATGGAAAGAGGGAAACCAAGCTTGCTCTGGAATCTGGTGGCAAGGTTCAAATACATGCCCTTTGGTGCAAGGGCAGCAGAGGCATTCCAGGGGATCAGGGACGAGAGGTAATGAAGACTGTCACCCACGGAGTTTCCATGGTGCTCACATAACAAGAGTTGAAACGTGTACCCTGTATCATTTCCACTGTGAGAAAACAGGTGTGGGGACCTACTCACCAGACCTCCGCCCGCTGCTGACGCTCACGGGGGAGAGATTTATGTTAAGAGCCCAAAGCCAGGGCCCCTCTTGCTCCTAAACCACTGGAGGGCACACACTTGGTAATTCAGGAGGCAAACTGGGTCATGCACAAATGAAGAAGAGCATTGGAATTTGAGATTTCACTTCCCAAGGCACTTAGCTAGTAAGCTCTGCCAAACTACTGAGAATTCTGGGAAGTGAATGAAGGAATGATTGGACCACTTCTTATTTTCTTAAATAGCAAATATTCTATTGTGTAAGAAAATATAATTTAGGGTTTTTCCCCCATAAGAATGACAGAAAGTTCATTTTTTTCCCCTGAAATCATGAACTTATTTACATCCATACTACAGGTGAAAGGTCAAGTTTAGAAAGCAGGAAATTCCAAAGCAAGCCTACACCAGACCCTGCTTGGACACGGTACACATGGTACCTATTTTACGGTTCATGTTTAACAAACCACAGGGAGATGGAAAAAGAAGTTCCACATATTCAACATGGCACAATTAATTCTACAGTAGCAAGAAGAATTTTGAGATACTCTGAACACTACTGAGGAAACTAAATATTCTATTAACCTAAGTTTAGAAATTTGTTTTCCTTCCTAAATAATTTAGTACAAAAAAAAGTCATTCAGTTGAAAAAAAATCACATGTGTGAAATACTCTGTATGCCACCATTCTATAAATAAATCTGAGAGGTGGCCCCCCTCTTCTTTGGCAACTCCTTAAAAATCTCATGAAACAAATGCTAAGTTTTCTCAACCCCAGACTTTAATTTTCTATCTTTGGAACTTAAAAATACTTACATAATTGTCTTCAAACATGGCTTGATTTCTCTTCCTTGATGGAAACAGCATCTCTGCCAACTTTAAAATTTATAGCTACAACCATATTTTCTTAATTTTTAAAAGCCCAGAAAATACCACAACCCCTCAAAGTGATTTTGAAATGAACATTTCTTCATCTTTGTAATTATCCCACGTCACACTGAAATGTACGCCAAGTCAGTGCACAAATGGAAAGAACATTCATCTCTGCGTCTTAGGGCACAACACTGCCTTTGGTAGGGACCACCAGGAGGTGTGGGTCTGTATTTCATCAGCACCTGCTGTATGCAAAGGCTGAAATGCCACCATGAACCCCATCAAAATACACAACTGATACATGTTAATTAAAAATAAAACACTGTCTTTGGAGACAATGGTATTAGCAACTAGAAAATATTTCATAGTGACCATACCTAAGTCATCATAGAATTCATTACAATGTAAAATGAAGATCCAATGATGGGATTCATGTGGGGTGAGTGTGTGTGCGGTGCATGCAGGTGTGTGTGCACACGCACGGCTCTCTGAGTGAAGAGACTGACTCACTCTCACAGAGCTTACCACGGTTTTCTAAAGAACCACTACATAACTCATTAATTTGACTTTCTAACAATCTTGAAAGGTATACAACACAGGGATTGTTTATTATTCCATCTAACAGGTCAGTGAACTCAGATACAGAAAGGCTCCAAGGCACCTTGGCAAACCCTGGAAATGTAGCCAGGGCAGCTGACTCCCAGATCTACTCTGTAAAGAGGGTCTAGGTGAGACAAGAAACTACCCAAAGTTGCCAGATTTCTAGAGTGGTTTTAACAAAGCAGCTTTTTCTCTCACCAATGTTATAAAGTCATCTCATTGCTGGAAAAAAAAAATCCCCTGAAATGCAGAGAGGCTGCATCAAAAGACTGTGCTTGAAAGTATTAAATTTTAAAAGTTATATGCCTTTGGTAACCTAGAAATCAACATAACACTGAAATACAAGTCTCTGAGGTACACAATACCAAAAAATCAATGGGAAAAAAATAACACTCTGACCCATCTCTTTTGAAATAAAGAAAAAAGAGAAAGGAAAAAGAAAAGATAATCTGGTGGGGAGTTTCAAGAAGTATATAGGGGTGAAATTTAAATTCTAGCAATGGTTGCTTAATATGTTCAAAACCTGAATCTTTCTAAGGCATTATATTCCCCCCTTGGAGCCGGCTACTGCCAGGGTGCGCTGCAACATCCTTTCCACTTTGAAGTTACCTGGCCAAGTTTGCATTCACGTTGCTACGTTTTTGTATGAATCTAGCTGGCATTTGTCGTCTATAAAAATCAACATTAAAGGCAACACTCCTCTTATTCCAAACGACTTGAGGACTTGTCTTTTAAACTCCTCCAAGAAGCAAGTAAAGTAAATGGAGAATGTGCCGGTTGGAAATTTCACATGCATTCAGCTTAGCTCCTGAAAAGCAAAAACTTTTTTTTTTTTCTTTACTTTCCCCCAATACAAACTAGAGTGGAGCACGGCCCAGGTTACCTGGAGTCCGCTGACCTTGAGGAGACCTAGGGGGAATTCTCAGCTGCACCTTCCAGACCTGGAGGCCCGGATGCTTACTGCAGTGGGGTGTAAGGGGGGGAGGGGCTTTGAGGGAGGGAAGGGCAGGGCTGTGTGAAGTGCCTGGGCAGGAAATGACCACTCAGAGATGGGTGGGCAGGGTGGCAGGAAGGCCCTCTGGACCAGAAAACGCACTTGCTGCCATGTGCTAGCAAGTTCACCCACATTACACAGGCAGGGAAACTCATCCACCACTCCAGTCATAGCCGCTGGATGCAAAATATATTTACACGCTAGCTAGACCAGCCTCACTGCAGCCTGGATTAGAATGGGGTAATTTCCTGTTGGGTAATTGGGAATTTTCTCCCTGAAACATGCCTGTAAATTTCTCAGGCCCCTGTGTAGTCCAGGTCACATGGTCTATGTCTTCTAAGTCAGGGTGTAATAAAATAAAACAACATAATGTCAAACTAATTTACTTTTTATTTGTCCCTGTTCTTGAACGTGCAGTTCAAGTAAAAGGACAGAGACTTTTATTTTATATTTTATATAAAATGGATTGTGTTTTTAAACATTTTTTATAACTTTATTTCTTTATTTATTTGGTGCTGAGGATTGAACCCAGTGCCTCACCCACTTTAGGCAAGTGCTCTATCACTGAGCTACAGCCCCAGCCCCAAAATGGACTGTTTTATATACTTGAAGTTGCAAACACTTGATGTCTGAACACATTTTAGAGTTAGAATCAAAGTTCTTTAAATCAAACAGAAACTGAATCCATTAATAAGCAAGAAAAATAGTGAATTCAGAGTCTTGCATGATGAATATTCAGCCCTGGATAATTAACCATACTGTCCACAGGACAGCAATTTGCAGACACACATATGTAAATTATATACATTGTATATATAAAAAAAAAAGAGAATGTTCATCCAACTCAGATCATGTCTAAGTTCCAAAAGAACAGTTGTGTGGGTGGGTTTTTTATTTGTTTGCTTTGTTTTAAAAAGATCTCTATGTTTTGACTTAGGGAACTCCTAATAGTTTGCATCATGTGAATTTTAGTTGATATTTCAAACTAATGTGAGGAAGTGTTCCCAAATTTTAAATGTACATCGGTTACTGCTTATCTATGGGAATTCAAAGAAAACTTTCAGGTTATCATCCAAAAATAATAAGCAACTAAAATACACATGAATTCTGATTCTGCATAACAGAGCCAACTGCGGAACCTGATAGGGAGAAGAGTAAACACCCCTGCCCATGGTTTCGGACCTCAGCCCTCCTAAGCAGATAGACCCAGTGGTCATCTTGATACAGACTATACTCTCAAAGGTGGGGAGCTGCAGTGGAAATTCACAGTGGGTGATGTGGACAAACCAGCAGGAAGATCACGTGACAATCACGTGTTTCACTCACGTACTTTGCGAAGCCGATGAAGTCTTCGTGGTTGGTGTTGATGTAGGAGACTTGAATGTCAATTAATAGCAGTACCTGCAAGTCAAAGGGAAACACTTCAGCGGGAACCCATCTCAAAAATTAAATTCATCTCATATATTAAATTCAATTATTGCTTATCAATTATTTTTCTGTACTGAATTTTTAAAGGGAACTTTCAATTAGAAAAGGTAATATTAATTTTTTTTCACTTGACTCATAATTTTGCAAGGTAATAACCTATATTAAGGAAATAGAAGGGAGACCAACAGAGTAGAGGAAGGGGTTGGGTGGGGGAGGGACATGGGGAAAGAAGTCGACCAAAGTATGCTGCATAAATGTATGAATACATCACAATGAACCCTACTTACATATGATCATAATGCACATCTGAAATACTAATAAAGGAAGGGAGATCAGTAGAGGAGAACAAGCAGTTCAGAGGTGGGAGGAGGGGAAGAAAAGAGAGAGTCCTGGGGAATGAGACTCCCAAACTGTGCTCTGTGTATGTAGGAGTGCCGCCCGATGAATCCCACCACATGCACCGTGTGGGGTCTACCTGAAAGGAAAGTCTGAGTCGCACTTGAAGAGAATGACATTAGAGTTTACAGACACGTGCCATCTGGACCTTAGCAGACTGGAACTGTTCTATTCCCTGACGCAGGCACAATGTACAAAAGAAAGGCAAGGTGTATACACTACACCATCTCTGGGTTTTCCTCTTCTTTGAGCTCCCTGTAGGCGATCGGAAGGACTCTAATATCCAAATAAATACAGAACCTCTTGGAGGTCAACAGGCTTCATGATCAAATCCAAACGCCAGCCAGGCCCCTGCCACACTGCCTCCCCATGGAAGTCTTCTCTGCCCTTCCTCTGAACTGCATTCTTCCTACCCTGTCTCTGCTGTGCCCCATATTATTTTCCTTCGTAGCGTTTTTTTCTGTATTTGGGAGGCAGACCTCAGCTGATGTGGCTGCTGCGACATCCCCAGAGCCGAGGTCAGCGCCTGCAACATCGGGGGCCATCAGTCAACACGTGTGAGGAACCTACTGAAGAATGACCCAGGGAACGTGAAAACGCTCTGATCATGAGACACACAAATTCTCAGAGACGTGAAAGGTCTCTGAGGGCAGGCAAGGAACTAAGAGAGAAGAAGAGGGGAACGTAGGAACTGGAAACTGTTAGCAAGAGGGTGTACCTGTAAACAGGGAAAAGACCTAAGAGCCTCTGGGAGCTTATTAGCTGGCTGCTTTCCTGAAGGGCGCCCCCTGCAGGCATCAGGGTAACAGCTCTTAGTTCTCAACGTTCAGACAGAATGAATGCTCTGGGAGTCTTCCCTGCTCCTAAGACCTCTGCCTCTCCATCCCGCACCACGGTTAAATAACACACACGTAGGCTGCACCACAAATGTGATTAATTATTTACACACCTTTTGGTTCAGTGCATATCTGCTCCACAAGAACGTAGGCTCTACACAGAGATTATGTTGGTCTTGTTCACTATTTTAATCCCAGACCTAGCATGATACATGCAATAGGTGCCCAATAAATGTTTGTGGCTTTAGTTTCATAGCTATCCACCAAGTTTGAAGAACAGTTTGTTTTGAAAGGAGCAATTTATTCCCATATAATTAGTTCGTGGCTACTTATTATTGCTTCTGACTCTGCACCCAGTGCTCTGGGCTCTGAGGCTTTGCTTTTGTAATGAATCTCAGCTGGCCATCTGACCAAATCCTACTAGAGTCATAAGGGAGCTGCCAAAAACAGACGAAAAGATCACTCTGAATCCACTCCCACTACCAAAAATAAAGTCAAGGCATATGGGCTATTGATCAATAACATCACACCTGCATAAAAAGCTTCATATCCTTGGATACAGTTTTGTTTTATCTCTTTAAGGGAACTCTAGAGTGAGGAGGAGCGGTTATCACACTAAGTGTAGTACTGCCTCGGGGGTCTGTGAAATATCATATTCCCAAACCTGTTTGGCAGGGATTCTGTACCAATAAGAGGTAGTAAGTGCAAATAAGTTGCTGCCACCATAAGGAGCAAACATCCGTACAATTCTCAACATAACCAAAGGCTGCCGTGTGCACCTTGGACTTTCACACACACTCACTTGGACTGCAGTGTAGGAAAAGAATGGAAAACATGAAAGCCATGGCTGTTCTCATTCATATTCCTGGAAATTGGGAGTCTGAGTTCACCCCAGGAAGAGGGCCAGGTCGCATGTGGGGGATGAAAAGGAAAACAGCATTTTTTCACTTTCTCAAAGTTTTTCACTGCGCTTCCACCCACAGTTATTGAAGAACCGTGAAGTTACTCCTGGTAGAAGCGGTCACCCACAAACTCCAGCACTTCAACGGGCAGTTTTTGCATGAAAACCCTCAGCATGGCCGGCACAGTACATGTTCCAAAAACCTTTGCTTAGAAAACACCTCCCATGGGGCTGGGGTTGTGGCTCAGCGGTAGAGTGCTCACCTAGCATGTGCGAGGCCCTGGGTTCGATCCTCAGCACCACATAAAAATAAATAAGTAAAATAGAGGTATTGTGTCCAACTACAACCAAGAAATAAATATTTTTTAAAAAGAAAGAAAGAAAACACCTCATAGACAAACTCATGGTTTCCATCTGCTTGCTTTTAAAGATTTCCCACAAACACACACCAAGTTTCCTGAATGGAGGTAGTTAATAGTTCTATTTTTTTAAAAAAGAAAGAAAACTGTAATAGTGCCTCAGTATAGTCCAGGTGCAGAGGCTGGAGAGACAGGCCACTCTCTGTCCACATTCTTCAAAAGCATCACATGGCCCAAGCCACATGGAGTCCCACATTCAAATAGAAGTCCCGTTGCCTGGCTTTGAATGCTAGCTTCAGACAACGCAGGCACCTCCTGACTTGACTGGAAGTCGCCTATGTCCTGACTTTATAAGCCCCTCCTCTGACCCAACTCACAGGGACTCCCGGGTCTTGCTGCTACCAAGTCCCCACTGGACTGCTCTCGGGAAGTCCTGGATCTGCCACCTCTCTCTCCCTTCTCATGGTGCCTGGGAACCGCTTCTCATGCCCTGGGATCTGGTTGTTCCAGAAAAATGCTAAATTTGAGGATGTTGATTTAGTAAAACTAAACCTCGGAAACATGACACATGAAGAAGTCAACAATGGACTTGGCTATGACCCTGAAGATGGTTAAAATAATAACTGCATAGTCTTTCCTCAAAATTCCTTTGACATAAGGTCTCCAAATTATAATGTGCCTTCACACAGGATATATTATAATTTGAATATTGTGGACTAAAGATATTAAAGCAGGCTTATTTACTTAAGGTCAGGTATAGAGTGGCTTTTGAAGAACTCAAGTTTTCTTGGTCCCACAGTGGCCAAGACATTAAACGGGGGGCAGGGGACAGAATCTCCAGCTTGGGGCTAGAAGCCAGGTCCCATGCTTGACGTCACCGACTCCTGAGTTAACAGCCCCTTGATCACCTCCAGTAAGTGGACTGCCCATTCTGTGCCCCTGGGGCTACTGCGGCTACCTAACAGTGGGAAAGCCGGGAAACAAGTGAAAACTATCAATACTGGTCAATTAACTTTCAAAGCACGATGATAAAGAGGAGCTGCAGTGAGTCCCAAGCCACAGTGTCTCAAGGTCACCCCTTGGCGGGGCAGCCCCTTCCTCTCTTGGCTGCGCCTGTGCCCCGCTCCCTGGCTCTCCTTCCTGTTTGGCCTGCTTGCTTCTCCCCATCCCTCCCCTCCTCCTCCCAATTTGCCCAAGAGTCCCTAAGAGTCGCAAAGCCTTGCACTGCTAACTTGCATTGGTTTCCAGAGATCGAAGACCAGCGCCCAGCGTCCTTCGTGAGAGGCAGGAGACTGGGCCCAGCTGAGCACCCACCACTGCGCATGCGGGGAACGGGTGTTAGAAACCTTTGATTTCCCTTTATATCATTTTATAAATTACCAAGAACCCATTTAATTTTTTTTTAAACACCACCATCTAGGTTTATTGACTCGGTTGTCACTATTTTTAAAGCTTGTTACATTGTATTTTACTTTAAAAATATTTTTTAATTGCAGATGGACACAATACCTTGATCTTACTTATTTTTAATTTAATTTAATTTGATTTTTTTATTAGCTTCATATGACATTACAATGATCTTGGCAATTCACACAAGAACCCATTTAATTTTGAAAAAAAAAAAAATTCCCCACAAACTTCCTGAGTAGAGATAGTTAATAATTCTATTTTTTAAAAAACAGAACTTGTTATTTTACTATAGTCTTTCACTACCTTAATGTAATTATCCTTGCTTAAAAACAACTTTTCCAAATCACAGAGCTCAGATTAGAAGACAATTTCAAGGTCACTCCTGACATATACATTTACAAATAGTTAGAAATGTTTAAAAGTGCAGTTCTGAAATGTTTTGTTTTTTCCCAATCATAGTTTCCATGGCTAAGTTGATGAAAAGCTATGGCTATTCTTGGTTTAAAAAAGAACGCTTGGCATAATATTTTAGACATTTATGAATATCCTGGAGCCCATATGTGGGCCCATTCAAAATTAAGAACCCGTCTCAGAAGAAAAAAACTCGGTATGTTTCTGGACTAGCGGTTTTCAAAGTGGGATGTGTATGTCCCCGGGGCGCACACGATGATCACTGAGTGCTGAGGACAAAAAAAAACAGCAGCTCCTGTTGCCGTTTTTAAATTTCTTTCTTCGGCAGTCATTATATTTGCTTATATTTTTAACGTGCTTAAGATACTAGTAGAGTTAAAGCTTGTATGTATTTCAAAATAGAAATAACTATTATGTGGCTTTGTGTACTAGTATTTTCTCCGTGGCAGGCTAGACCAGCTGCTGGAGACCCCCGACAACTCTGCAGAGGGCCTGAACACCCCGCAGGGCCCTGCCCACCACAGAAGGCTCCCCCTCACCTGGTCCTTCGTCTTCCCTTCTCGCTCACGAATGTGGTTGGCAACGATCCTTTCCGTTTCCTCACAAAGTCTGGGGAAGTTGGCCAGCTGTCAGGAAAGACAGGTCTCAGTGTTAATACAGAACTCAAGAAGTCGTACTACCAAAAAAGAAGTGGAGGGCAATCACGCCTTCTTACAGAGGGACGCTCAATAGAATTCTGGAAGCAAAGGTGACATCTCATGAACTCCTGCAGAAGAGTAGGGCAGAGTCATAGAAGAAGCCCCCAAAACCATAATGGGCGGCAACCTCGTCATCAGAGAGGAGACGGACACTTCAAAACCAGTGCAGCAATTTCCTGGAAGGAAAGCAGAAACCTAGACCCTACCTCACACTGTGCCCTGCAGAGGTGACGCTCAGCCAGATTCCGGGATGAAGAGCATGGAAGAGATGAGGAAAAGGATCAAGGCTAACGTCTACCTAGTGCTCACCACACACCAGGCTCTGTGCTAGGCATGTGTTCAATATTCACAACAATCCTAAGAAGTGGATCTAATTCTTAAGTCCATTTTGTAGAGGAGGAAAATGAAGCACAGAGAGGTTACGTAACTTGCCAAGACCAAAACGGTGGGTCCAGGGTTTCCACTCAAGTCACAGGGGTTTTATATTTTTCTCTATTAACTTCAAGTAGCAGAGAGACTTAAACTTCTAATTTAAAAAAAAAAAAAAGATCTTGAATCTTACACACACACACACACACACACTTCAATTTTCTTCACAGGATTGGAGCTAAATTGATAATGACGTTTATTACAGCATTAGTTAGAATAGCAATAAGACAGACAAAAACTATGAACCACCTACATACCTAGTGACCTTAAATAAACTAAGGTAGATCCATGTATGAAGTGGGATGTGGCCATTTCAAATCATATTTTGAATGATATCTAATGACAGTATTTACAACACTAAGAAAAATCGGGCTATCACATATATAATGTGATTACACACACACACACCCCACCATGCACCCTCATCTCCTTAAAAAATCCAACCCAAGAACCTGAGAGTCCCAAAGGTCTTGAGCACAGATTATTTCCTCAAATTTCAAAAGGTTAGAACCAGGCATGACAACAAACTGCAGAACTTCACAGAAAAGTTGTAATTGCAAGACCTCTTGACCTATTAGCACAGCAAATCTGCTGTCTGTGCACAGAAAAATATCTGCACAAGTTCCACAAAAGGTTAACAGTGATAACCCTTTGAACTATGCACACTTGTAGTCCTCCATACTTTAAGTCCTTGGTATTTTCTAAAATGGATATCGAGTACCTCTGTAGTAATACTATAAACATATAGAAACCCAGCTATCTCTCTTACCGCAAAGTCACAGTCCAGCTTCTCGCCAGGAGGCCCCAGCTCCTCACCTTAAGAAGGAACGGCTCTCTGGTAGCTGAATCCTGCCACGCTGCTCATTGGGGAGTTTATTTCATGAATCATTACAAAATACAAATGGAAATCCATTCCCATTCTGGAAGCATTCCCCAGAAAAGCTCTGCCACCCCAGACCCCTTTTGGTGCTCTGAGCATCCTGCAGATGTTCTTCTGTGGGGCTTAGGAAAGCCTTCCTGGTGAGGGAGGCAACGGATCCACACTAGTCCTCCTCACTGAGTGCAGACCTGGGTGGCACATCTGGCACCAACGGCCAGCGGCTGCTCCTCTGCACTCAGAGGCATTCCAGGTTTTCCTGGGACACCTGCTCTTGGGTAACAGCCCACTGTTCCAGAGTCGTGGAGAAGTAAGTATGCAAGGAGCACCATCCACCAAGGAAGAGCAGTGCCTTCAACATTTAGGAAATGGATCACAGAGGTTATTATCAAACCACTAAATATGGCAATATAAAAGAAACTGTTGACAACTGAAGGACCCAAGGCCCAAACATGAACCTCATTAAGGCCAAAATGACGAGAGTACAGTCTCCAAGAATGCCTCCAGCCACAGGCCCCAGCAGAGGATTGGTTTGTGAGTGCGTGTGTAGGTATGTATGCATGTGTGTGTACTCACATGTGTGCACACCCGTGTGCATGTTGTCTGCATGTGTGCCTGTGTGTACATGCACACCTCTTCTCTACAACCCAGGGTTCAGGTTTTCCAGGAGAGAAATCTGCCCAAGTCCATGACTCTGCACCTCCCACTGAACCACCTGAAGTCAATAAACCTAAACCCTAAGAGGAACCAAAGAAAGAGAGAACAGGTTACAAGAAGTGCCCTCATGGAGGAAGAACACAGACGTCACACCAGGCATCGCTGAAAGGCAGCCTCCGAGTTACAGGCCCTGGCCGGCTGGTCTGGAAAGGGTCGTGGGCGGGTAGAATTCAGAAACGCTGGTTTTGACAGCTGGCTCTCCAGCAAAGCCCAGTTCTTAAGATAGGAAGAGGGGTGAGGGTCCTGCTGACCCGCAGTGATCTCTGGTCAGGCTACCTGCCACTATCTCATTAGTCCACTGGACAGGAGGCGCCCAGCTTGTGTGGCTTTGCTGTTGGTTAAAAAGATTTTTATTCCTAAATTTATATCCCAGCAGTCATTCACTGGGCAGCTAGGCTCAGTTTGTGTCATAGAACCCGACATTGAAACCTTACAGAGTTGAGCAGCAGGTGGATCATCCCGATCAACAGTCCTACAAGAGAAGTAGATTTCAGGAAGAGAAAACTGAGGACATGAAGGGCTAAACCTGCCACAGGAAGGTTCATGTTCACCCCACGGTAGTGAAAGTCTCAAACTGCCATGAGGAGGACTTCAGTGTTACTTAGCACGTGCTAAGAAAGAAAAACAGAAAGTCCAACTTTGGGTGAAATAAAACTGTTCAGCGGTCAGAAGAGGCATAGTCTTCTCCTCTTAGGTAATCCGGAAAACATCCAGTAGGTCAGGATGGCTTGACACCATGTCAAAACGGCACCTGGAGGTCTTGCAAGGTTTCCATCTCCTCTCTTCCCAAGTTACCTCTGGTAGACACATTAATGAGCAATTAGAATGGAAAAAGAAAAATCAGAGGGTAGGAAGAAAAACAGAGAACATGGTGAATTATAAATTAAGGATTCATTATACAGCCCTTTAATGAACTGTGAGATTAAAAGGTGAGACTTGAACATCCCTTTAAAATCAAGTCCCAGGCCTGAATTCCTGGCAGTACTCAATAAAAGGCTCAAATACTAATAACCAGCCTGATTTGCAGGCTAGGACATGAGGCATTGACTACATACAAGGCAAGGAAGCACCAGCCAGTTGGATGGGCAGCATGAGCTGGGGGTGTACAAAACTAGTCACTCCATAGTGAAAAGCCAGCACGTCAATCAGACCTTCCAACAGAGCCTAATGCAGTGGTGCTATGTGGCCATCTCTTTCCTGCTTCAGCCCAACGGACACCCACCTGCCAGATCAATAAGACAAGGGCCAACTGCTCATTCAATAATTGCTCTTGATCACCGGGCTGTTCCAGGAGTTGCAGGGAGAGCCATGAGCTTGTCCGGCCAACCCCCACTACCACGGAGCTGACAGCCTCCAACTCCCTGTCCTGTCCAGCAACAAGGGCACGTTCAGAGAGTCCAACGTGCCAAGAAGAAGAATACAGCTTGGCAGGTAGATGAAGAGTGGTGTGCACTGCACGTGTGGGCTAGGGAGCGGGGCGTGCGGTTATCGATAGAAATCAGACTTGGAGGAGGGCACCTTTGGGCAGAGCCCTGAAGGAAGCCAGGGTGTGACCGTGCAGGTAGCTTGCACCATTACCAATGAGGAGGGCAAATTTCTCCTGCTGTGTGCTCGCCTGCTGAAGAAATGAGGACGCAGCACAGTTGTAAGGCACAGAAAAGGAGAGAGCTTATAGATGAGAAGAGGCGCGATCTGCAGGCATACAAGCCTGCCAGGGACCTGGGATCCACTGCTTGGTTGTGTGTCTTCACAATCGGAAATCTACGTACCCAACATGCCGCAAAACGCATTCCTTCTAACAGCTCTTTTTAATAGAAAATCCTTGCCTCTATTTCTAAGAGCCAACTAAGGTATTTTTTTTTTCTCCTTGCAACACTGTTTTTTTTTTTTTTTTTTAAATGGGGGTGGAGGGGATTAATTAATTGGTATCATGGCAATCCAAGAATGTCGTTTCCCAAGAGGCCAATAAATGGCACAGTTGCTAAACTGTGGTTAAAAAGAAAAAAACAACAAGATGTTCCTTTCTGTGTTTCCTTAAAGGAACCTCAGGACCCTGTGATGCTGTCCTGGAGAAGAGGAGGTAAAGAAAAGCAGCTGAAAATCGATGCCCACCGGAACAATTCCAAAGTTGAGATGTCCCTGAAGTGAAGCCAAATAGCTCATAAAGCTCCAGCGTCCATGTCTGTCCTCCAGGGCCCCAGAGGCAGCAGTGAGAAAATATCTGAGAAGAAATGCATTCCCCGGGGTTAGAAGTCTAGCTTTGTGCTTTGTTATTTGAACGCACATAAATCCCATATGTTTTCCCTGATGTTTATTTATGTGGCTTAAGGAAAAAAACATTTAAAGATTTTACACATAAGGCATTCAACATGAGCTGTAAATCAAAACAATGTTTCAAGTGTAAGTGTGTGTGTGTGTGTGTGTGTGTGAGAGAGAGAGAGAGAGAGAGAGAGAGAGAGAGAGAGAGAAAGAGAAATTACAATATAGCTGGAAAAGTTATACATTTTCCCATTATCCAGGCAGGCTGGCATAATTATTCTTCTTATGCCAGTGAAAGTATTAATAACGTCCCCTTTATGTCTCAAAAATATGTTGTGTTGGACAATAAATTGTATAATCTCCTTCTCTATGGATTGTGTTCAGAAAATGTCAAATAATAAAGGCTCGCCATACTCGACACTAATCAGAATATTTTGCCCTGCAGAAGATTTTCAGTGGACCAGATTCAACAGTTCAAGGTGGCTCTGAGGAAGCCCAGACCAAGAACATCAAAATGAGCAAAAATAAATGGCACATGCTTAAAGGAGAATCTGCCCAAGTGTCATCGTTACTGAGTGACTGAAGTCCTCTTTAAAACCAAGCAGGCGCTGCTTTGGCGTCAGGGTAGCTGAGGACATTACGCTGTCACCAGGTATTGACAGAAGGCTCCTCACCTGGGCTGGTCACTGCTCCAGGTCTGGGGAGAGGAAGGCAGAAGACACGGCTCTTCTTTGAAAAGAGCTTAGAATCAGCCGGAGGAGGCGCCCACACAACGAGGCCCCAGTGTCAGAGACCCCCGACAGAGAGAGAGAGAGAGAGAGAGAGAGAGAGAGAGAGAGAGGGAGGGAGAGAAGGAGGGAGGGGGAGAGAGAGAGAAGGTGCGGATGGAAGCACGGACAAGGGACGAGGAGCAGAGAAGGGGCACGGACACACAGAGGGCCTCTAGGAAGAGCTTCAGGAAAGACGGCGACCGCCCGCATCTTTAAAACCCAGAACGGGTGGCAGGTGACAAAGGAGGGGAAGGGAGGCCCTCCAAAGGGGGTCACGTGAACAAACGCCAACGGCATGGAAACGGGGGAGGCCAGTTTATAGGCAGGTCCCTGTGGACACCCTGTAGGAGAAAGTGGAGGGGTGGTCAGGGAAAGAGGGCAGACCAGGGGAACAGCGCTCCCCATGGAGGTGCGCATCAGGAAGGGATCAACGGCAGACAGACGGACTGGAAACCAGGTGACTGCTGGGGAGTTAACTGAGAAGGGACCACTAGACAGCAAGCCCTGTGCTTTGGCTGTGGACTGCCCCCCAAAGGCTCATGTGTGGGCTTGTTCCCAGTGCAGTGCGGAGGGGCCCTGGGAAGCAGCTGGATCGCCAGGGCTCTCACCTGTCAGGATCGATCCATTGAGAGCGGAATGTTCTACTGGGAGATGGTGGAAACTGTCAGTGGTGGGGCAGCTCCCTGGGGCACGTCCTGGGAGGGTATCTCCTGTCCCCAGTCCTTTCTGTCTCTCTCTGTTCCCCGGCTGCCACGGATTGAGCAGCTTTCCTCGGCCACACCCACCCACCATGGAGTTCCTGCCTTGGAGCCAGCCAACCACGGACTGCAACCTCTAAACACAGGAGGCAAAATAGATCTTTCCTCAACCTGTTGCTTTTCTCAGGTATCGTGTCTCAGTGAGGAACAGCTGACTGACACAGCATGAACTACTTTTGTCCCCAAGAAGTTTGTCCGTGAACAGGAAAGGCATGGCTGACCATGGGTTTATGGTCACTGTTTTTCTTTAAATAAGGAGAGACATAAAAACTTAAGTGCTGACTTTTTAAATGTGTGGTGGAGGGGCTGGTGCAGCGCTTGCCTGGCGCACACGAGGCCACACACGTGACAGAGGAGGCAGCAGCACAGGAAACAGAAGAACCCAAAGAGCCAGTTCTCTAAGGAAGTGGGGATACGGGCTCGAGTCCAGCCTTGGTCAGGGATAAGGAAGCTTAGGGATCAGAGGACAAGACATTAACGGCCCCACTTCCAGGCAATGAAATCACGAGTGAAAGTGAGGAGCAAAGTTACAAGGGAGGTGACCCCAAGAGAAAATGAGAAGTTCAGCATCACCACCCTGAAGAACCGAGGAAGTCACTGATGAATAATACCCTGGACATAGAGAGGGCAGACCCGGGGGGCGGGAGGGAAGGTACCTGGGAATGAGACTGATCCGTGGATGTTGTGTGCATGTATGTACAAATACGGCATGATGGACCCCACTGCTACGGATAATCACAGTGCACCCCAAAACAACACCCTGAAGCACCACTGAGCAGCCCTTAAGACTACACTAAGGTAGACTCTGGGCATACTGTGGCACCAACCACACAAATGGGATAATTATCTTTGATTCCTCAGCAATCTTGGGGAGAGACAAAACGAAATGAAAAATTTCCCCCCTCTTGGAGTTTCAACAGGTGACAAAGTTAATTCCAGCAGATTGAACCGCTAGGCCAGGAAAGTAAAGGTGGTCCCCTCCAACCCTCTCCACCGTGGTGGGCTCCAAGGTTCACTGCTGGAAGCAGCAGACCCCAGGCCGGCTTTCCAATCTACACCTAGAACTGTCAAGTGGACCCTGAATTCCAAACCTCTGCCAAGTTCTTCCATCAATTCTCCAGTTAGCTCAGCTCCAAAGAAGTCAGGGAGAAGCGGTGAGCAACCTGCAAACCCTAGAGTCGGAGTCTGCCACCTTCTGGTCAAACATGTGCTGATGAGGACGAGGGCCACAAGAGGTCACGGAAGTGCCCTGCCAGTGGGGACTGAGGAGGGAACACAGGGAGTCGGAGATCTCAAGAAGAGTGGTGCCGGGCATGATGACTACATGGGCACCGACGTCTTCCCCACTGAAGGCGAACTTGGGATGGAGAGGGAAAATGTCAGCCAGGTTCCAAACATCCTGATAGACGCACGGAACAGCCAGGATTGATGGAGATATTGCAACTGAGGGTGGAGGGACAGGTACCACCCAGACCATAAGGAAGACTTTGTCAAGAAGGCGATGAAATCGCATTTGGAACCCACAAACAGAGAAGTAGGCAAATGTCTTGCCCGACTCAGGCCCTTAAATGTTTTAGGGTCGGGCCTTTGATGAAGGAAGCTACAGGGTAAACAATAATCTCAGGGAGAAAGCTAGGTTTTACTTTATTTAACGCAGACTATAGAATGTTTTGAGAAGACAGTAAAAATATTCAGGATGTTGATCCAGAGAGAATAATGGAAAGGGGAGTTCAAAGGCTGGAAAGCAAGAACAAAGCCGTGAGTGTCCAGGAACAGGCTGTCAGGACCAGGCCGACCGGTGATTTCCAGTAAGTCGGATAAAATAGGAAATGATAAAAGAAAAGATTCATACATACCATAAACACTTTATATAACTTAAAACATAAAAGTACACACATGTGCCAATCTTTTGATGTAAGGCCAGGGCCTGCTCTCTGCACATGGTGCCGCTGTTTGGAGTTATGCATCTTCTGTCTTACATAAGCCACAGCCTTCATCTGTGATGCCCAGTTCTGCTTTCTTTAAAGTAGGAGCAGGACCTGAACAAACTGGTGAAATAATCTGAATGCAAAACTACCTAGACTCTTATAAGCCCCAACCACACACATTATTTTACCGTTATCCTGCCTCTGCCCAGTTAATAACAAAGTTTTGTAGCTAACATCTATCAGGACTTTCCAAAGCATTTGGCTTTGTTTGCACAGAAACAAAGCTCAGCCTTTCTGTATTTCATCAGTTTATTCACTGTTCATTTAAGGTACACGACTGAAATAAGGACAGCCGGCTAACTAGGGTTGAGAACAAACTCAAGGCGATTGACCCTCGGGAAGAAGGCAGCTAGCTTCATTGCTGGAGGCCAGAGTACAGGGGCAATCTCAGGAGAGGCCTTCTCTCTAAGCTCATCTGTGGCCACAGAGACCGTCCCTGTGGTCACAGGGAAAGCAGCACCGGTCAACCCTGTAAATGGGTTGAGAGATCAAGTGAAAGAGCTTTGAAGACACAGGTGACAGGACAGATTGCATTCTGCAGAGTGGACAAAGACAGCAGGGAGTGACGTGTGACTGGCTTCACATTTCCGAAGGAGCGCTGGATAGAGTGCTTTTTCTCCCGTGTGCTCTCTCCTGCCTTCTGCCTCCCTCCCTCCCTGATCTCCTGGGGCTGGGAAGGGAAAGTGCAGTTAGAGCTCTCGGGAGGAATCTGAACCTCCAGAATTACATCTGGGTCCCAGGCTCCCGCCATGTCGTCCTCCTTCAGCCTCCACCTGGGAATGTAGTCTGCCAGCCTCTACTACCTATGGCTCTCCTTCAGCTGAGCCTTTCTGACTGGTCATGGGACCAGTATTCACATTCATGCCATCATTTGTTCTCTTCCTCTTCTTCCCACTGTTTTTTCAGGGAGGTGAGTAACTCTGTTTAAGGGAAGTTAACAACAAACTAACAAAAACAGCTGGGAGAGGTGGTGCATCCTGAAATCCCAGCGGCTCAGGAGGCTGAGGCAGGAGGATAGCGAGTTCAAAGCCAGCCTCAGCAATTCACCCAAGCAATTCACCGAGACCCTGTCTGTAAATAAAATACAAAAAAGGCCTGGGGATGTTGCTCAGTGGGTAAATGCTAAATGCTCCTGGATTCAACCCTGCTACAAAAAAAAAAAAAAAAAAAAAAAAAAAAGCTAACAAAACCATAACTATCTGGACATGGAGAGATGGTGCTGGTGCCTATGGCAGCTATCATAAGCTTAGGCCCACCCTACCCCAAGCACCACCTTCCTAAGCAACCTTCTTCTGTTCCCTCTAGGAGGTACTCCTTCCATCCTCCTAGGAGTTCAACTGCCACAGTCAATCAGCAATGGGTGTCCATAGACTTTGGGAATCATCTCCTTTATTTCTCACTGAGGTGACATGATCAACATAAACCCAATCCACACATAAATGAGCAAGACCAGAGGGGTTAAGAATGATGCCTGAGGTCACACAGAATCTAGGTAAGTGGGCCTCCAAGGCTGGGCTCCAAACCACTATACACTGCTCTTCTCAAAATGCCGCAGCTCAAGTGGAACCATTGATAATATACAAGCGTTTTCTTATCAATACACACAATATCAGTGATTCTCATTGAAATCACCTTCACCCACACATCATAGGAAACATGACTTTAGGGCATTTATCCACTTGTTCTAATGGATGCTCAGCCCAGGCACTCTCTCTGGCCCAGCCAACCTTTGGAATGGGCTAAAGAAGGAATTCCTCTGCCCATCAGGACAGCCCTTCCCACCCAACACTTCCACAGTCCCTCCTTGGACAAACACTAACTGTCTGTGACAAGGCCAGGGGTCAGGGAGCGAGACCATGCAATGGAACAGGAGTGGCGGGTAGGTCCCAGGTCACCTGCTGGGAGGTCAAGTGGTCCAGCTCACCTTCTTGGTGCACTTCTTGACCGTGTTGATCAGCTCCTGCATCACCAGGTCCACGCTCTTCAGGGAAGGCCCTTTCAGCTTTACGATCTGCTTTTTGACTATCGCTTCAAATGCCATGTCCGGAGTAAACAGCCCCGTCCTGGATATAGGAAAGAAAGGACTGTGTTAGATATAAACCATGGAGTGGCACCCAATACTCTGAAAAATGTTTAAATTGTCACTTAAAGTAAGCACATAGTTAGATCAGGTTCAAAAGTTATGTAGCAATCTGTTCTATCCACAATACCACTACAATAACACCTTTAATAGTGCTACACCACAATAAGTGCCAATCTACGGGAGGTTAACTTGACCTACAAATGATGCTCAAGGGCTGGGGATGTAGCTCAGTGGGACAGCACTTGCCCAGCGTGTGCAAGGTCTTATATTCCATGTCCAGGACCTCCCTCCCTCGCCCACCATTCCCACACAAATGCCCAATATATTTTCTTGACTTATGATGTAAGTTTTAACTAACATTTAACTGTCACTTCACTACTTCAAACCAATAAAAGGAAATGCAGGGGGCCCTTCATATTGTTGGGCTACACCTCTGTGGATTCAGCCATTACTAACTGAAAATATTCAGAGAAAAACTGTATCTCTACTGAGCATGTACAGACTTATTTCTTGTCACTGTCTGAAAAATACAGTCTAAAAATACAACTATTTACATAGCATTTACATAGGATTGGGTATTGTAAGTCATCTAAATCTAAAGTATAGGGAGGATGTGCTGTGTTACCTTGCATTCAGGTTGCTTTTATTTAACTTTCACTTGTTAAATTATGTTTGGCCTTTGTACATGAACTCCAGAAATGTGTTTCAAAATATTATCATAGTTCTTTGAAGAAAGTGCTGTGGACAGAACATGTGTCCCCTAGAAATTCTCCCCAGTGTGACGGTGTCAGGAGGTGGAGCTTTGGGGAGGCAGTAGGCCATTAAAGGTGGAGCCCTAGTGGACAGGATCATGCCCTATAAAGGCATTGTGGAGCCGGCCAGCTCTGTCTGCCAGGGAGGACACAGGAAAGTCAGCAGCCTGCAAACCAGAGGAAGGCCCTCCCCAGAGCCCCCTGTGCTGGAACCCTGAGCTTGGCCTTCCACCCTACAGAACAGTGAGACATCATGTCGCTGGTTTTAGTCACTCATCTACGATATCAGCCTGAAAAGACTCAAGAAAGTAACTTAGAACATTCTCACTCTACACAGGGGAAATCTGGGCCCAATTCACCCCGTCCACCCTGGCCCTCTGCTCTCCCATCCACCTTCCTCCGACCAATCACGTGTGAAGTCCTCGCCCCACAAAACCTGCCGCACCTTCCCACCTCTACCCTGGGCTCAGCCTGCCTCCTTCCCGGGAGCCCTTCCTGCCCTCCAGCCTCAGCAAGGCCATTCCCTCTCCTTCTTCCCACTGCCCACTGCAGCTTTACCATCCCACACGCACTCACAAGCACATGCCTGCCTCGCACACACACTCACAAGAACATGCCCACCTCGCACACACGCACAAACACACATTCACCTCACCTGAACACACACAGACAAGCACACATCCCGCTCTCACAAGCACACAAGCATATGTCCGCACACAGCACCCTTGGCTGGCTGACAGCGTCCTAGGAACAGGCAGGGTTCCACTCCTAAGTAACCACCGTCATTCCCTTTCCCAGTCTCGTTCTACAACTCGATTAAAAGGAACCAGTGTCTCCTCTGTGGGAGTGATGTGCTCAGGAGCACCTGGGGCCTCCCTCCCTGAAACCCAGGCTGTGGAGAGCAGGGTCTCGCCCTTCTTTGTGTCTTCCACTGTGCAGAAAGTAGCTTGGTTTTGTTTTGTTTTCATTGGGGAAAAAAACTCACTGTGGCACTGTAGGAAATTAGCAATGAGCCCAAACTAAGGGGTCCCATTTCTTTCTCCCGCCTCTGCACCCGCCTCTGTCCGGAGGATGAGGAGGCTACTTCTCTAGGCAACATTCCATTTCTTTGGTAGTTTGAACTGAACACAGGAAAACACCAGAAACTTGCCTGATCCCATGTATGTTTTTGATCGCATAGCTGATTTCTCTTCGCAGTTCTTTCTCATTGAACTCCATCTGCAGATGCGAAATGAGCCACGGTTATGACACTTAATGCCTTTGAATAATAATGTTGTTGAATATTGCAGAATAAAAATAACTTGACTGAGTTATTAATAAACGGATACTCATGTCTCTCCTAAGCTAAACCCAGATGGTCAAAACATCTGTTTATATGAAGTTCAAGGCAACGTAGGACCCGAGGGATTTCTGGGAGTTATAGTGCAGCAGATTTTAACTTTATTATATTTAAGATTTTAACTTTATATATATTAACTTTATTATATTTATTTATATTTATGCTGGGCATAAAGGATGACTTCTAGACATTAAGCTGGCCACTCGGTGATTCTTTTTTTGCCTATCAATGAACCTGCATAAGTGAGAGTGTCACCTGCCAGGCAGCAGCACGCCTTCCTGAGGTTACCGATGGCCGTCTTTTCTCCCTGGCCACTTCAACCACCTGCATTCAAGGCTCTTTATAAAAGGAAATTAATAATATTTCGCCAAGCCAATACAGGATAGAATGCTGTGTAAACGTTTCCCCGGAGCCCTGGGTACCATAAATCTATTTGGAAGAAGGATCAAAGTGTCACAGAGCCGAGTCCTGGGAGGCGATCCCGCGAACGCAGGTTCACCTGACTCGGGACTGGCCGCTCCAGTCCCACTTCCTGCCCATTCCTCCCTCGTGCTTTATGCCCTAGAACCTTGACTTGCCTCGGTCTCTACCAACCCTGTGGCCACACAGTTCGGAGCCTTTGTCCTTCTCCCCTCTGCCACCTCCTCCTGCTCCTCTGGCTGCCCGTCCTGCAGGCTCAGCTCAGCAGCCTGGCTGCCTGGAGGACTTGGGCTGGGATCCACATCTGGGGGCTGTCTCCAGAGCACCCTGAAGCTCATCACTCATCGCACTTTAATAAAACGACCCACTTACCCGTCTGCTGCAAGAGGAGCAAGTAGCAGTCCCCGGAACGACTTAGCTGCCTTTGTTTCACACTCAGCGAGTGCACAACAGAGCCCCATTCACACCTCCAGACGATCACTGTTTCGCCTCATTCTCCTCATCTGATGGGCACCACCGCTCAGCTCGAAGCCAAAACCGTGGGAGTCCCATCTAGTCTTTCTTCCATCCCCCATATCAATCCAAGCCCTGCTGACCTCACCTCTCAAATCCCAAAAGGCACCCATCTCTCTCTCTCTCTCTCTCTCTCTCTCTCTCTCTCTCCCTCTCTTGCCAGGTCATTTAGTGGGACACCACAGAAATTGAAGTTTTAGGGTCTCTCCTGAGCACAAGATCCCTCTCAAGACCCTAGGCCTCACTGAGTGTTTATATTGATGTTTTACTTTCTTCTTGAGAGCTCTGAGGTGGTAGACAGTGGACGTGCCTTGGGCCTGACCTCACTCTTCTCCTTACCTTACCCTTCTCTTGCTCTTTATGGGCCAGCAGGCCCCGTGTTTTCTAGCATTTAGCCAAAGTGGTCACACTCCTGCTTAAAACCCTCCACTGTTAAGTGTGAACACCTCACCCCGACCTCGGAAGCCCGTGAGAACTGAGCAGGTCCCTCCCGTCTGGATCCCCGGGCGCCTCTGCCTTCTCAGCTCTGCACCAGCCCGTGGCTCTTCACCTGCCCTGGGGCCTTGCCCACGAGGTGCTCCCTCCTTGAAGACCTTCTCCGTGCTCTTCTGGCTGGGGCTTGAATGTCCCTCGCTCACAGAGAACTTGCCTGACATGCCATTAAAAGTGGCTGTCACTTCCCATTGCCAAAGCACCACTTTTTTATGTTCATATTTGTTCATTTTCTGTGCTTCTTTATTAGACCAATTAAAATCTCCCAGGTCTTCATCAGTGGCCCCTAGAACTCTGAGTCATAGAAGGGCCTGGGAAATATTTAATTGGACAACATCTCAACTAGTTTTTGTTGAAATGACTTGGAATGTTGTGAAATTTCCACTAAGTAAAAATCAGAAAAGAAAATTTCTCTCCTGAATGTCATTACCCGAGTACAGAGGTTTTTGTTCAAAGGACCATCACTGACCCAAACCATTCAGGTAGCGTCAGGGCAAGAGGTTGGTAAAACAGAACACGGAAATGAAGCAGAGGGAGATGTCATTGAGTACGAACCTTCACTATCTCAAAAGGAAAGCGCTCGTGGAAAATGCGATTGATTTTAGCACCGCCGGAGAGCTCCAGGGTGTCCACTTGGTCCCCTGACCCTTCGATTCTCTTCTCAAAGTCCACTGCGAATTGCTGAACCATCCTAGAATTGAGACGGTCGAGTTAGAGGTGGCTGGCTTGCCAGGCGGGTCTCCACTCTGCCTTGCCTCGCCTTGCCTTGCTATCCTTTCCTGGGGTTCCTAGTGGCACCTACTGGTGGAGTTGACACTGCGCTTTGTTCAGCTTTCAGAACATAAGAAACACACATTGTTAAGATTTATTTCAGACAATTACTAGAGTAAATACCTTAAATATCTTTGTCTTTAATTGCATTCTGTTCACTTGGCGGCAATCATGAAATGGTGTTTAAAGAATACCTGACATAAAAATTCAAGTGTCACAATAAAACTTGTAAAATAGTCAAATGGAGCTCAGCTCCTGTGACCTCACCCTTGTCCACAGTCCCAGATGCTCCAGGTGAACCTCCTCGCACTTGGGGGCTACTCTTGGTTCCTCCATTCTCTCCTCATGCTATAAATTTGCCCCAGGTGATCTTGAGGGTGGCCAGAGCTTTAAGGGTCATCAAGAACTAGTTTTTCCGACCTTCGGTGCTAGCCCCTGCTTCCTGGGAGTTGCTGGCCATATACCCAGCTGCCTGCTGGACAGTGATTTTCTCTGAACTCAATGCACCTAAAACTGAATCACTGACATCTCCTACTCCCAACCTGCTCATTCTCCTTCTCTCCCGACTTTCCCCTCATGGTGGCAGGGACCCCAGGTCACCTGTGCTCCTGCCTGGCATTTCCAGGTAGCCACCAACTGTTGATTCTCCTCCTCCTTTTGTCCCACAGACAAGAGACTCTTCCTCATCACCCGGGATGCTGCCTGGGTTCAGCCCTCAACAACTCTTCCTGGGGTTCCTGACACCCAGGGTTCTTCATGGTCTGACCCTGGTGGCCCCTGAGCCCACCTCTAAGCACTCCTCCATGCTCACCCTCTCAGCTCACTTGGGGAGGACACTGTCAGTGCCCCGCCCCTCCTCACCCACCACCATTCCTTAGGGCCGCCCAGATCAGGCCCCTCCTCTGCCTCCAGCCCAGCGCGCAGTGGCCCACACGGCCGCTGCCTGTCCACCTATCAATCTCTCCCCCAAGGACAAGGGCCATACATTTTAGCCATCTCCCCTAATTTGGCACATGATACATATTCACTAAATATTTGTTGAATGAAGGGATAAATTCTCTTAAGGTAGCTGATTAAAACAAAGAAGAAAGAGAACACAACTCTTCCACTGAGGACTACTAATTTTGACATAGGAACTACTTAAAAATCTAATGGTAAAAATTCAAAATCTACGAGGAAAAAAAAATCCAAACCATCTAAAATATTGTGGGCCAATTAAATCATCACAAATTCTTAGGCCTGAAAAACTAGAGTGTGACTGGCCTCAGCTCTGTTTCGTGTGTGTGCTGTTACTTTTAAACACCTAGAAAGGCAATAACGGGACACATACTTTCAAACACTGGAGAAGATTAGAAAATCCAAGTTTGGCTGCTCTTTCCCCACCTGGACCCCTGACTGATCCTAGACCAAGTTGTGCTGAAGGTCACATATTCTCTAGCCTCCTCCTTCCCAGGACAAGTCCTCTCCTACTTCAGGGTCTCGAGTGTTATTTTCTCTCTGACTCATGCCTTTCCTCACGTGTAACTCCTTCTCATCTGGGCTCCTACCATTTCACACTTCCCAGAAACACGGCATTTATCAGCTCTGTGTCTAAACAATTAATAGCTTCTGTGTCTGTACCCCTGCTCCACCCTGACCCTTCCTGGGAGCAACAGAGGGATTCATCATTGACTCCCTGGGGGACAACACAGAGCCAGGCCCTGAGGACAGCACACACGGAGATTAGAGGAGGGAGGGGGAAAGGAGAGGAAGGCAGGAGGGAGGGAAGAAATAGGATGGAGAAGAGAGGACTCCGAGGGGAGCTGAATCAGCCTTCGCAAGTGACAGTTCAGTGGGAAATCCTGTCATCTGAGCCCCACGAAGTCAGAGGCGAGAACCCACCTCCTTCCCCTGTGTCTTTAACAGTTTTCACAAGTGCTTAACCACACCCAAGAATATAAAGAAAGAGTAACAGGGAAGAGCTATATAGCTTGTCAACTTTTAAATGAGGAAATGTGATGCATTTAAGATGACATTTTAATCATTTACATAGTTGGAAACCACCCCACAAAGAAAGGAATTCTAATACCAAATTAAGGGTGCTTTGATTGAGAGACTGCAATGGTGATGAAGGTGCCACAGAGGTGACCAACAAATGTCTTGGAGGTGGACCTGGGCAAGTTGTGCACAGGGTTAGGGAACAAGACGAGGCCTGAAGCAGTCAATGTGAGGGAGATGTGTGAGACCTGGCGGCCGCTGAGTCCCAGCAACTGACATCCTGCCCCAAGGCCGCTGGTGTGAGTCTACCAGCCCCAGGGTAGGATGGAGAAGAAGATGCTTGGCAATTCTCACATTTGTATTTTTACAGTGCTACATTAAAATCATTACCAGAAAGGAAAATAAATTAAAACATGGCCTTATTGTCTGTATGTTATTATTTTTTTTAGCTAAATTCCAGGTTCTTGTTCCATTGAAAAAATGCGCATAGATAAATCACATGAAATAAGGGAAATAAAAAGATCATATGGACAAGGGACATCAATGCCAATGGTTGTAAAAGTCAGATGATGTTTTCATGTATTTACTCACTTCTAAGACTAAGGACAAACAGTAGCCTCCTGCGTTATCACTCCTGGCTTTACTCACTGAAGTCAATTTTGGAAAGACAATTATTGAACACGAGGAAGAGCAGTTGGTTAAATTCATAATAACAGGATCCAATTAAAAATTACTTCCAGAAGACATAAAAACTCAAGAGTCACTGTGTATCACTGAGCCTCGTCCACTTTGTTGCTTCTGTTAAGCTTAAACAACAACATGACAAATAGGCGGCAGCCAAGGACAAGGACACGAGCTCCAGGTGAGCAAGGGGGGGGGGGAGGAAGCCACCTACTGCAGCAGGGCCTTGGTCTTCCGGGTGGGGTCTTCGGGCTTGAAGTTCCTGAAGGCTTCTACTTCGTGCTCGATGGACAGCAGCTGCCCCTGCAGTTTGTTCCTGAAGTTTGGCAGGGTGTCTCGAATGTGGTTCGTAAGTTGCTAAATAGAACAAAACAAAATCACACGTGTGTCTACAGTAGATTAAAGATGAACTCATGAGACAAGAACCAGCCTCCACTGTGTTCCTGGTCATTCACAACCTTAGAAATGACCCGGACATCAGAGGCCATGAGGTAGATAGACTCCACTGCCCTGGAGACGCCCAGACTCCTCCGCTGACAGTCACTCGTTTGGTGAACATACAATGTCACGAGTGGGCTGCCCGGGAGCGCTGCAGTGTGGACGACCCATCAGATCATTCCTATAGGAAGGAACCTGACCTGAGACCAGGGTGGAAATGAAGGAAGCCAAGAGCTGCAGGTGCTGCTCCACATTTCTAAGGCCAAAATGGACCAGTGCGAGGGGAGCTCAGGTGGCCAGGGCTGCCACCGGCACCTGCCAGCCCCTTGCTTTCTTGGCCCTCTGCAGGCAGTGCTTCCTGGCCCCTCTACCTCTAGACCCCAGGTCAGGCCTGGCTGGACACCAGCTGGTGCCTTCAAGAGACTGAATAGAGAACTGCATGACTAAGTGAGAGAAAGCTCTCTCTGCTATTGACCACTCCACCTGACCTGGCCGGGGGCATTTCCTCTGAGGTCAGCTGCCACCTCAAGCTCAATACAGTGAAAACAACTCAGACAATCTCTTCGAGAAGAACAAAGTTGGGAAAGGGTGGGGTAGTGCACACCTGTAAATCCCAGTGACTCAGGAGGCCGAGGCAGAATTGCAAGCTTGAGGCCACCCTGGCAACTCAATGGGATCCTCAGCAACTTAGAGACACCCCGTCTCAAAATAAAAAGGGCTAGGGATGCAGCTCACAGTAGAGCACCCCTGCATTCAATCTCCAACATGGGAGGAAAAAAAAGGTTGTTCAGTTCTCTGCGTTATGTTCTTTCTGCAATGTAGCGACAGAAAATTCTGAAAATGATGATGATCATCTTGATCTGCTTAAGTAATAAACTTAGAATTGAGAGAAAGAGAGGAACTTCACAGAAATGCAGCAAAAATAATTTAAAAGGAAAGTAAACATCCCCAGATTGATGGAAGAAATGATTTTAACTCATCATAAAGATGATTTATGTGCGTCCAAGTTAAACGAATACATGCAGCCAGTAAGTCCGCAGCTAATTAACTGTCACTATTCTCTATCATTCCTCTGCCACAGTGGGGATTGTTTCTGCTGTGGGTATGAATCAGGAAAAAACAGAACAGAGGACTGGATCTCCAGGAGCAGTGTCCAAAGAGACAAAGACCCAAATCTAAGAGGAGCAGCCACCATGAAAAACCAGCAACCGCCAAATGGGCCTGTGAGCTGGAAATAATGAACACACTTGGTTTCCACTCTTTGCTCCTCAGACTTCTCAACAGTAAAGCGACACTGTGGCCATCCTTTGCTCTCTGGAGCACGTCATGCCTTGGCTTGCATCACCTTGGTTCCTCTAACTCTTCTCCTAGCCATTCTGGATGCACCTTCTCCGTCTCCTTTAATAATTCATGCTCCTCGCCAGACTGGGAATTTCGAATTTCTCAGATCTGATCTGGGGTCTCTTCTCATTCCACCCAGGGTTTCGGCAAACACACAAACACCCGCTGCTGCTAAAATGTTGACTCCAGACAGGACTCCTGCGTGACTTCTCCTCCTGGGTGTGTCAATGACACCTCAGCCTCAACTTATCCCAAACAAGTACCTCATCTTCCCCTTGCTGGGCTCCCTATAGTGCTGCCTGCAGATCAGCATAGAAGCGAGGAATGTCCTTGACTCTATACCTGTCACCCAATAGAGCTCATCTGTCACCAAGTTCTCAATTTTCCTAAACATTCCTCAAATCTCCTGTGTCACTTCCCACTGGCCCTATGTGAGACTGAGCTACTGTAACTTTTATTATTTTTAGCCACCTGCCCTTCCTGGTTTTACTCCTAACTGGCCTACTCTTGGTCTTCTTATTGCAATACCATATTCTTTTTAACCGTCAGACCTGAGCCTGTCAATACCCTCCCTTGGATCTCCTAAATAGCTCCCTACTGCTCCTTGGTGGAGAGCCCAGTCTTTACTTTGGCCTAAGAACCTCCCAGGACCCTGCCACCGTCCACGTCTCCACGTGCTCTTGCTCTCCCCCTAGTCTGGTGGTGTCTCCTTCCATTCCTCACAATCATCACAGTTTTGTACAGATTGTCTATGGAAATGGTGCCTCAGAATCAGAAGGACTGGCACACGTAGAATTAGCAAGAAAGTTGTTCTAGTTTCAAAACCTTTGAAACCGATTATACAGAAGGGATGTTCAGGGTAAAATGCGTTCAACTTTCAATCAACACAATCCAATTGTGTCAAAAGTGGGGGATCTCCTGCATAACATAATGGTCAATCATCTCCTATTTTTTAAATATGCAAAACCTAATTTATTTCCAACCCCTTCCAATGGTATTAGTGATTTTCCTATAGGATTTTTTCAGGTTATTTGTCATTTTCTTAGGCCAATATAGGGTTGAAAGTGGTGGTCTGACACAAGTTTTACCACTGCTGACCACATCGTGAGAATGTCACGGTTCCTCCATGGCAAACCAGTGCTCCTCCTCAAGGGTATTCATATTTTAAAAGTGATACAACCAAGTGCTGCCTCTGAGATTCCAAATTCTCTTTTAGCCTAATTAAGAATATGAACGTCACCAAAGTCACTTAAAATACAAGTATACCTCTCCTTCCTATTTTCTAAAACCTCCACTGTCTTATCTCAATGGTTCAGATATAATGACCTTAACTTTGACCACCTCTACTCACCCCTTCAAGGATCTGATATCAGAGCGTCCATAACCACCAGACCAGGCTCACAGATGGAGGGGGAAAGCTTAACTAATGGGGATGTCTGTGAGGAAAACTGCTCTCCATCAAAGTCACTGTCATCAAAACTCAGGAAGGGTGACCCAGGGACCAGGGCATGTGGTCATGATGCTTGACCACAACAGGGGAAGCAACGTATGTACCAGGGAACGTGTGCTGAGGCGTTGTGACAAAAGAGTGTGCCGTGTGTGGCGGGGCAGGGAGACAGAAGCCCCAATCCGATTCTATTTATTGGGGGAAAATGGGTTATCTGGGAAAGTGTTTTAGATTAGTGGCAATCAATGGTGACTTCATCAGGATTTGTTGTTTTGAAAATTTTAAATAAAGGAACAAATCAATCCTAAACAAAACCAGAAAAAAAAAATTTTAGCAGAAAGTCTAACCTAACCATTACAGCTGGTATTCCACAGACAGATCCCAAGTGATCCTCGTTTCAGAGCTACACAAGTTTAAATGCTGAGGAGAACTACCTGTGGTAAGAGAATGCATGCTCAAATGTACACGGGCTTCACCTCCTAAAGAGACACTTGTCTGTGCTGTGAGCTCGGCCCCCTTGACTGCCCCCTCAGCTAAGGCCAACTCAGCTCCCGGCACAGTACCAGCGTAGCTGAGCACTCACAGTCATTGTTTAAACCCCTTTCATTCAAGCTGGACGTCTTGCTTCAGAAAAGAGAAATTCAAAAATAAGATATTTAAATCCCAATGGCCTACACATTTTGTAACTGTTCTTGTTGCTTTAAAGAATTTCTTTACCTGATTCAGGACCTTCTGAAGGTGTGGGGTCCCCATACGGTCAGCAATGTGTCTGTAGGCCGGATGTGAAAGAAAAAATTTCCTCTCTGCCAACATGGCTGCTTTAATGTCCTTCTTTCCGTCTATGTCCTTCTGGCTCCTGTTGACCACCCCCACGTAACCTGAAACAAAACACACCACCACACAGCCCCATGGGGCTTGGCACTCCCCTGTAACTGTTCTAGGGAGATTTCAGGGCTCTCCAACAGACTGAGTGAGGTAGGCAAATGGGTCTGGGGGCCTGAAGACTGGGCCCCTTTACAAAACTCCATTGAGACAATGATATTTTAACAAAGACCACAGACTTGCCTAGGGATAACTTTTGACATCGACAGAATAATACCCCTCGCATTTAAAAGTCTTATGCATTTTAAGAGAGAATGACTCTTTGCAGTTGTGCCGTATTGCAGGATCGTAAATACCACACTTACAACAGAATGGTATCTATATTTGTGTAATCTATGGTGAATATTTACACCCTCCTTCAAACCTCTTCTTTTTCCTGTTTTTCTTATCACTGTTATTTTAAGGAATAGTTCTCATTTTGGATCATTTTTAACACCTCATATGGGAATACAGTGCCATTCCATAAAGAGTGTAGCTGATAATAAATCCAAGCCTGAGGACAGGGAGATCATTAAGCCCGTGCCTCCCCATGCCTTGCAGTTGTCTCTGACATAGTACCAAGAAGGCCCTCTGCAGACCCAGGACGTACCCCTGCGAAGAGGCAGCAGCTTGTTCTCCAGCACGTCCCTGGCATCCGTCCCTTCATCCATGAGATCCAGTTTGGTGATGACGCCGATGGTTCTCAGGCCTGCATCATAAACCAACCCGTTAGGACACCATCTGAAGGGGACTAACGAACTTCAGAGGCCACGCGTCTCCCGGCTAACTGTGCAGCTCACACTCTTGTCCTTTTCCTGTTCCTCTCTGACTGTGCCTCGATCCACTGTCACCCCAGTCTGGCCGATTTCTACACGAGGAGGAGGGTTTGGAAACCACCCATCTGTATTCATTAGATGACTTTCCATTGGAGAGAGAAAAACAGATGCGCCACAAAAATACTCTAAACAGTCACACATCACCTACCCAGGGGGCTGTTTCCTGAGAAACACACCCTCAGTGGGTCTCATCACCATGCAAACACCAGAGAGTGGGTCTACTTAAACCTGAATCGTGTAGGTGACTCTGAGTGTGATCTCTGATGCTATCAGGTGAGATGTAGGAGAATGTGAGATACAGCAGGCACCAGTGGAAGACAGCAGACTGAATCACAGCCAACCTTTATGGGTGTGATATACTCTAAAAACAGTATGGTAAATAAACTAGTAACGCATTTATTGTCAAGTATTATGTATGCACATAATTACGCTGCTTCACTTTCTGACCACAGCAGTACACATTTGTTTACACCGACATCACAACAACACAGGAGCACACACGGCCAACCACGTCATGTGATGTCACCAGGTAATATGAAATTCCAACTCCATTACAACTTTATGGGGCCGCCGAGATGTATGCAGTCTGTCACTGACCAAAGTTGTCACGCTGCACATGATCATATATGAATTTATTTTTGAACCACACATGAATGGAAACCATACATTTTAACTTTCTGCCCAAGTATCCAACCTGATATGGATTTTTAAAAAAATTACTACCTTATTAATAAACAAATAGGCTCTGCACGAACCAAGGACAAAAGTGTGCTGCAAACCAGGGTCACCACTGACCCGGTCCTGGGCACTTGAAGTCAAAGAAATAAAAACTAAAAAGGCTAAGAATAGAGTACAGAACAGTGCCATCACCAAAAACACACTAATGAGTCTCGCAGCACTATTTCTTAGAAGAGGAAATCTGATTTAATGGAAAGAAGACTGAACTAGGAACGGGCTAGGAACGGGAGAAACCTCTGCACACGGCTCTTGGGGGTCAGGTATTGAAAGAAGGTAATTAATTGAGTCTCTACATACTAACTGGCAAGATCTGCTCTTCCCAGTCCAGTTCCCTAGTCTGACTTCCGGAAAGGGTGGCTGGCAGACTATCACCTGATCCACCCTAGCAAGAGGTGGGAGAACTGGGCATGGGGAGACTAACCACCCCAAGAGAAAAACCCAACTGCTGACATCAAGAGGAACCCGAACTAAACAGCCCAATGAATCACCCTGTCATGAAGGAAACCACCTAGTAAGTCAGGCTCACCCACACAGTGCTTTGGGTAATATTCCACCTATAACTACGTATGGACATTATGAAGTAGAACCTAGAGACACAAAGGTAATGCAAAAGAGAGAAATTTTTGTCATTTTTATTAATATCTTCAGAGAGGAAAGAGAAGTAATTGCTTTCATGGAACAAGAAGAAAAGGCCATAAAAAGAAAGGTGCATGAAAGAAGTCCCAGAGATTAGAAATGCAAGAGCAGAAATGAAAGTGCTAGTAGAAGGGTTAGAAGATGAAAACAAAAGAAAAAGAAGTAAATAATAGAAAAACATCCTTAAAAGCTAGAGAGATGATCATGAAGCTCCAATATCCGAGTAACTGGCATGGCTGGAAAAAAAGACCAAATCGGAAAAGCGAGAGGGAGGGAGAGATCCTGTTTAGAAATATGCTATAAGTCAAGGATAAGAATCTGTAAACTGAGTGAGCTCACCGGGCCTCAGATACAATACAAACACTAGGAACAGATGAAAGATGCTAAAGAGCTCCCTGACAAATTTTAAAAGGTCACATTACAAGGATTGAGAATCACTGTGCTGCCCCAGTCCTCCCAGCAGCAAGCCAGAAATGCTAAATCAATCGATCAATGTTTTCAGAACTCCAAGAGGAAAAAATAATTTCCAACTTAGAATTCTAAATTATCAATAGATGTGACAGTAGAAAAAGAGACTTTCAGATTTGCAAACTCCCAAAAGGTCTTACCCCCCTTTCTCATTTTCTCAGGTAGAGATTAAACAATGTGTCCACAAAGGAGTAAATCATCAAGAGGAAGACATGATGTCCGGAAGCAGGACCAAACTGAGAAAAGAAGGCAATGTTCAGGATGGTGCAGACCCCAGGACGAAGCCCAGAGGGTAAGGAGAGGACACAGAGCCTGGGACAGGCTTCTTACACACACACACACGCACGCAGGATAGCACACGCACATGATGCCTAATGAATGGAGAGACTCAGACTGCTTCAGGTGAGGCTGGAAAAGCTAGATACATAGAGACTCCACAGACAAGAAGACACAATTACCTAATCCAAGACAGTACCATGCAAGAAAGGGGGACTAATCATAATTCACCCCCTGGCTCAGCCGTGATTTACATTTTCAGAATTAAAAAAAAAATCATTCTCTAAATATGATTATGTCATCTTATCAAAATGGGGGATGATAAATGCCTATGTGCATGCGCGCGCGCGCGAGTGTGTGTGTGTGTGTGTGTGTGTGTGTGTGTGTGTGTAGGTACAGGAGAGGGAAGCAGGACAGCCAATTCCCCTCCACATCAGGAAGTCAAATAAAACAAAGAAAATCAAGAAAGAGTGACACATTACATGGAGATATATTTATATATTAGAGAGAGAGAGAGAGCGCGAGCCATAGACCCCAAAAGAAAGAGCTAAAAGGGTTGAAAGTAGCTGGTTCTGGAATCAGTCATCAGAAGCAGGAGGGATGGGCAAGGGCCTGACGGTTTTTACTGAAAGGCTTTGGGATGGACCTTTTAAAGGCTATATGTGTTTATAGCTCTAATACAAATAAAAGCTGACTGTGAATGTGTTTTCCTTACCACTCCCTCACTCCTGAGAAGGCATCTGAGTCCACGCTTAGTGGGGCACCAGAAATGGGGAGAGGACTATGTTCTTTTCACATTTCCTTGCACAAACAGGCAGCTTATAATGACCAATGACTCCCTGCTGGCACACTCTGCTTTAATGGATCTCAGAAAGTCACTGTCAGAAGAGATCTCAAAGGCTTTAAGAGCGCCCTGGAAACCAAAAGACCTGGACAAAACAGTACATCACAGAGCCCTGACTGTGTGCCAGCCTCATTAAGGACCCAAAATGAAAGCCATATGAGGTAGGTACTTTTATTTTTTCAGTTATACAGATTAAGAAAAGTGAGTGTTGGAAAGGAAAAATACACTTTCCTAAGGGGAAACAGCCTGTCCAGCCTGAGCTGGCGTCCAGCCAGGGACACTCCATCTTCAATCCTGTATTCTCCAGCCCCGCCCCACTCATAGATCCTACAGGTGATTATCTGGGCTGTGTGGCAGCTAGCCCTATCATCTAGGACTGTCTGTCCACAGAACCGAAAGTTGGGCTGGACTTCTCTTTCCAGTCCAGAATTTGGGAAGGGGAACAACGTTCAGATTCAAAGGTGGTTATGAACCCCATTAAGTAAGGAAGAATTAAACACGATTCTTGTCTCCCTACTAAAGGGAAAATAAAAGCAATCAATGAAAAGCTGGATAAAATTGTGATAAAGTGGTTTGTGTTTCTCTTCAGTGAAGAATGACCATGATGATGAGTACCAGTGACTCCTGATGAAGACCTCAGTAAGACACACAAGCCACTTCCAACAGCTGACACCACACCACAGAGGTCAAGCGCAGACCGAGCCCCACTGCAAGCACCCCAGTAGGAAACGGCCTCCACAGGGTGTCACGCTTCGCTGTCCTGGGAGAACGACTAACCACCTTCTGTTTAGTTCTCTGAAGAATGCCCTTCTGAAGGACAAATCACATGCTCACTCTAACTCATTAGGAGAATAACAACCCTTGGATTTCAACTTGAATAGCAGGACTCTAGTCTGGCGTGGAAGGAGCTTGGATGTCACCACTCCATCCCAACCACATGTAAAGAGACAAACTGAAAACCCACAACTCTTTGTAGGTCAGCAGACATATGAGCTCATAGGGTAAACTGCTACCAAAACCTGAAAAGGAGAAGCAAGTGAATAGAGAGGATCACAATCTACCAGAGCAGAAGTCCATGACCAGAAATTTCCGTGTCAATGCTGAAGTAGAAAAACGTAAGTAGGAATTGCTAGGGGTAACCTGTCCGACAAAAAGGCAATCTTCTGAGATTCAAGGAAGCTCCTAATTATCACCTCAGGACAGCAAACCACTGTAGTAGATGGTGGTCTCAGTGGTTCGGCTTCCTCCTGATGAGGGCGCTAATGCCTTCGGTGTTGGGGTAGGAAAATCTAAATCACAGTTGCTGAGAAAACAGCCAAAGACTCAGTGTGAACAACCGTCAGAGTTGAACCCAGGTTTCTTAGGGAGTCCGCACATTGTTCTGAGTTTTGCTTCCAGAAGCTCAAGCAGGTTCTCGGTGAATACTAGAGAAAAGAACCCCCTCATGTTTCTGGCACTGAGAACAGTAACCAGTGTGAAACACGTCAAAGCATCCGTTCCTCGGAATATGGTCTGCACTTGGAGAAACTATTTAACCAGGCCCTCATCTACGAGGGTCCCTTCAAGGCTAAACATATCTGAGGGAAGGAGGATATTCACCTTTTAGTCTCCTCTAGATTTCCACAGCAAGGAGGAGAAATGCCCAACTCCAGCCCATTCTAGCCACTCTGTCCTGTCTGAAGGGGACAGAGTGAGGTGGAGACCAAGAAGCACGTAGGAGGTCCATGCTCACTAAATATGTGACCTAATCATGGGATCATAGAATGCTTCCTCTCACTCCACACATTACCACACATTACTGAAGGCCCATTTTCCATAGTCCCTTACATACAGTACATCATATATTGACAAAAAAATTTACAAGGTATATTAAAAGGCAATAAATAAATAAGAATATGGAAGAAACCCAGA